TGTAGCTTGTTTTGACCAGTTCTCTTCAGAATGTCTGAAAACAATAAAGATGTTTTAAAGAGAAAAATAGATATTTTATTCACACTAGACTCACACTAGTCCAAAATTTTCAGTTCAGTTCAGTAGTTTATTGTCATTGTTTAAAAGCAAAGTGATAACTTTGGATCATTCACATTACATTGTATTGATAATAATAATAGGTGCCACCTATATATATATATATATATATGTGTGTGTGTATGTATGTTCAATATAATAGTTTAAACAATACATTTATGTTTAACTTACAACTTAGAAACAGAGTTCCTAACTTTTTCGCCACTGCAGCATTTGGCTTCAGACATTTGACCAGGACTTCCTGACATCAAGAACTTTGCCTGAACACTTCTCACAATTAGCCATTTGCTCCGTGTTATAAAACTTCATGACACGAGAGCCAGAGGCGCTCTTTGAGGAATGACAGAAAAAGGTCAAACCCTGGCTTCACAGTTTGTCAAGAGGTGAGGGGAAGATTCTGTTTAGGCTCAACAAAAAGGAAGAACAAAATGCTTGAGAGGTAGTCGCAAAAAGGTCAAAGTACGGAGAGAGTTCACAGGGGAAACAAAGGGTACAGGGGGGAGGAGTAAAACAAGCAAGGAGAAACAACAAAGAACGCAAAATCTGACATGCAGTGTTTCTTTCACCTTAGTGTTCCTCCAATTAAGGACGCTGGGATGGGAGGAGGAAAAGGATAGGATTAGAACAAATGAGGTGGATGTTGGTGTCCACCCCTCACACAGCCCACACCTTTTCTCTTTGATCTGCACAGAGACATCCTGTTCCTGAAACCAAAGTGCCCATTGCTAACTACGCAACCAAAACAAAGTTCAAGCCTGGGCAGCTCTGTTTCAACTAAAAAGAAGCTTTCACATGATATCCAGTGACAGCATTAAATATAAGAACAGAAGATGAACTCAAAGACTTTAAAAGAGCTTGATAAAAAAAACTTTTAGATAAAGAAGAGCACGAAACGAGACATTACAAAGGACTGACTCTAATGCATATAATATGGCTGATAGGGTAGAAAAGTACAGTAAAACACTTAATGGTTACTTATTTTTAAAAAGTACCAACCACAAAAGGGTTTTTATATTGAGAAGACATTTTTATGCATGACACTCATCTCAATCATGCAAAATCCATCCATCCAATCACCCATCCATTATTTTAACCCACCTCTTCCTTTCAGGGTCACGGGGGTCACTGGTGTCCACATCCAGCAGTCACTGTGTGAGGGGCGGGGTACACCCTGTACAGGATGTAAGTCCATCACAGGACCACATAGAGACGAACAACCATTTACTCTCTCCCTCACACCAAAGGACAATTTAAAGTTACCAATTAGCCTAACATTCATGCTTTTGGTCTGTGGGAGGAAACTGGAGTACTTGGAGAACATGTAAACTCTACCCAGAAAAGTCCTTGGATGGGATTTGATCTGGCAACCTTCTTGCTGAAAGGCAACAGCTCTACCAACTAAGCCACCATGCCACCTTACAAAACACATTTTTTACAAAAAATATTGAAATTTGATGTATTAAAGACTGAAAGGTATGAGGAGCATGAGGGCATCATCATGACAACAATCATCAAAGCTCTCTTAGGGGAAAAAAATACTTGAGTAGAAAATTTGAAACTCCAAATCAAGACAATTTGAAGACACTGACGACAATAATAGTTCAACAATTTGTTCAAGTATAATAAAGTTCTTTCAGGTTATTAGATCCTTGTTCTTACTAATGCAAGAAAAGCCTCTTTACAACCCAAATGTTTAGCCAGGAAACAGTACACAGCGAAAGAAATACCTTTACTGAATGGTATTAAAAGAAATGCATCAACAGAACAAGAGCACAAAAGGCAATTGACAAAGCTCCAAGAACCCATAAACCCTTCTTTAACAAACAACTCGTGTTACAGAGTGATGTGGTTGCAAGCAAGACCTAAATTCCTCATAAGTCAGCCAAGCTTATTTTGCTAACATGAATATAAGTTGAGAAGCTAAAACTGAAGGTAAGCATCCTTCTGTGAGATGTCTGAGACGTCATTAGTCCTTTCTGATTAGAACAAAAGTAATTCTGGTTTAAATGAACTAATACTTGTATGGTTGCAATAAATCACTTGCACTTTGTTTTAACGCACGCTGTTCACTTCAGAGAAGCAGACAAAGTAACTCCTGTAATGACAGTCAAGCTTAATACTTGGTCTGGCAAAAAGAATCAGTCTAAAAGTTACAGAGCACAGACATTAGACTAAATTAAGCATCTATGTTGAGGACAATAACTACAAAAATATTTTAAAAGGAGTGTACTAAACATTTAAAGTAAAACTATTTATCAGAAGGTTTACAACTTTAATGTTTGGATCACTTTCAAATGTTCTATGGAGATTACAGCAATGTGACAAATAATAATACAAGACAAACAAACAAAATACTAAAAAAAGACAAAATTTTACAGTGACAGCCGCTCTGCAAGTCTGCTTGGCTGCGTTACAGCTGAAGTTATTACAACACACTCACAAACTTTGGCAGACAGTAAATCAGTCAAGAGTAAATGCCGTCTTTTATCAGATCATAAAGTCTGCTTGTAGGCATTTAATTCCCCCCCACTCTTGTTTTAACAGGGAAGCCGGCAGCCTAGAGAAACCATGTTTTGTTTTTATAGAGGTTACAGGAAAAGAAGAGCGTGTGCATAAACAAGGCTGAGTCGAGCACTTCTCGTGCATTTGATTTTGCCTGCGAGCAACAATAATGTGGGGGAACTGCCACTCTTGTGAAAGCAGGTATGAGTGTTGTACATATTTTATGTGACAGGCAAAGGAGAGAATATTGAAAAAGGTTTTCTGACGGTGTCTTTGCTAATGCTTCAAGATCATATCTCTGCTGCCATCCGGCTTAAAATTAAGCTTTGAGGAATGTCGGCATTTTAGATCAACCCTTATAATGTAAACTAAAATGTGATATTGCAAAATCTTTGATATTTGTTGAATTCACTTTAAACATATTTTTGATTTTAGCCAGTGCCATACCACTGCAGGCCTAAATATACTGGTTTGTCCATAATGAACATTTATTAAAAGGTCATTGTGCTTGTTAAGCTAACCAAGGAGTTGGCTGGATTGCACTGTTTTCTTAAAGGGATCCCCGATTATTTGTAACATTAAACTTTATTTAATAAACATATGTTTTAACTGTAAAATAAAGACTGTAAAAATATTGTAGGATGATTAGTTTTTATCATTTTTAACTAAAAGTTTAAAAATATATTACACGGGCGGGGCCATTTTATTTATATGAAAAGCATTCTGGGTAAATGGTGACGTGGGTAGGTCATCGGTACGAGGCTTCTAGCAAGCTAAATCCTCCCTGAAGGTTAATCTTGGACAATATCTGATGATCAACTCTTTCAAATGAAACCAGAGAGCGTTGACAGAGAGAAGGTAGAAATGACTCAGCCTGTAATTGAAAATATAGATGGAGGACAACAGAGCTGCTTCATGGAAGAAGAACCTCAGCTTAGCCTGTTAGCTTTAGCATTAGCCCTGATGCTATCACCATATATATGTATTAGCTCAGCGCTACACATTCTCCTCTCGTCAATGAGGTCCTCCATCCACATGACAGAGAGGGGAACACAAAAATGACTCAGGCTGCAACTGAAAATATGGATGGAGAACCTCATTTTAGCTTGTTTGTCTCGTTAGCACTGAGCTAATACATATAAGGCAATATAGCATCAATGCTAGCACAAAGGCTAACAGGCTAAGCTGAGGTTCTTTTTCCATGAAGCAGCTCTGTTGTCCTCCATCCATATTTTCAGTTCCAGGCTGAGTCATTTCTACCTTCTCCTCTCTGTCAACGCTCTCTGGTTTCATTTAAAAGAGTCGATCGTCAGATATTGTCCAAGTGAAACCTACAGGGAGGATTTAGCTTGCTAGAAGCCTCGCACCGATGACCTATCCATGTCATCATTTACCCAGAATGCTTTGCATGTTAATAAAATGGCCCCGTCCATGTTAAAACAATTTTTTGAAAATGTGCAAAACTAAACAGCCTACAGGATTTTTTACATTCTTTATTTTGCAGTTAAAATATATGTTTATCAAATAAAGTTTAATGTTACAACTAATCGGGGATCCCTTTAATAAACCTCTGGCCTGATGCTCAACTCTTGTAAACACTTTTCACTCAACTTTTTTTTTAACAGTAGGTGAGGTCAGAAGTTCAGCCCACAGGTTTTAACAGTTAAGGCCAAGATGTGAACTTGTGACCTTCTGGGGTGAACAGAAAAGGGGAAGGAACTAAAGGGAAGAAAAGACAAGGAGTGGGGGGGGGGGGGGGTCATCTTTCTTCAGTGCCGAATGACTGGATTTACAGCTGCATGCTGACTGCAATGCAAGCACAGCAGAAAACACCTGATAGCATCTCCTTGGGGGAGGAACCACCCGACCCCTTTGTTGTCTCACAAACAGTCACCCCAGTACCATAAATCATGTTAATTACTTGACTGATGGAATAAATCTTAAAAAAGTCAAGTCTTTCAGGCTTGGAACAGGAGGTTCCCGCACTGCAGTTGTGCTTGCTATGCATTATCTGTCATCCTAAAGTCACTGTGTAATCTGTCCATTTGTCGTTGCTTGAGCAGGACTTTTTGAAGATGTGGACAGACCGAGGGAGGGCTAGCTGTTGGTGACACACATATCTTCCAGTAATCCATCTTCCTATGGGTGGTCTCTCAGGGTGTATTTTAGAAAACAAAGCTAATGTGAAACTCAAGACCAGCAGGTTGATGGTGTTGAAATGCAAATATTGTTCAACTTATAGATGCAAAGGCATTGCAATAGAACACAATCTGAAGACAAAAAAGTAAACTTTGACAAGTATTTAAACAACCCATTCCTATTACATCTATAAATAACTGTTTTTGTTGTTGTTTTTTTACCCAATTCCATTTTTTTTTCAGATTTATCAGTTTAACTTGGAACCAGAAGCAGCATCCCAAAGACATGAAAGGTCACTCACACACAACAGCAATCCCTCAAGAGTGCACTCATAGGCTTTTGGGTAATTACAGCTTTCTCACTCGAGTGTTTTGTGTTTCGCTTTGCTTGTTCTGTCTCAAAAGCTAACAACCACTCATTATTCACGGTTTGAGTTAGGCTATTTTTTTTCTTCCAGAAGGGCAAATTACACATGAGAGTGACAGCTCTCAGAGAACGAGACGACCAACAGCCTTGCCAGACTCTAGTAAGAGAGTGTTCTTAAATCAAGGGGGCCAAGACGCTGACTATGGCCATGCAGTCTGTTGACTTTGTGGCAAGGGCAGCAGAAGACTAGCTGCATGGATATACTGTAGTCTTTAAACAAGCCCAGTCCAATAAACTGCCTTCCACTGCAATCATAAAGTCTGCATGCTTTTCTAAAATACTTCTATGGCTACGTTCACACTGCAGGCAAATGTGACCCCTATCTGATTTTTATGACAATCTGAACGCAACAAATCCGATTTTTTTCAAATCAGACCCAGGCCTTTTCAGTACGTGGCACTGAATCGGATACATATCTGATGTTTTTCAAAGTGACTCCAGTCTGAACAATCACGTCACATTACATCCAACTTTTTTATCAGTAAGGTGAAAAATTGATAAAGACTCTCTTCAAGTCAAAATGTTGAAATCTATAGTTTCACACGTCTACAGCTCCAGAACAGAAGTCCAGTTGTTTCATCTTTTTACTTTTAATTTTCCATGTCCTGGATGACTGAGAATCTGCAGAAACATAGTAATGTCCAGCTTCAGTCGCAAACCGTATTGATCCTGATTGAGCATGTCAGATAATTATTTAATCGACTCTAAGTGAACAACAACTTCAGAGTTGACACGCTGAAAGCAGCATCCATGTTTAGCTAAATGTAAACAAGGAGCTGATTGAATGTGACATCACGTCTTTTTCTACGACAGGTCTATTCAACTAAATTGCTCCGGGGGCCACAGTTACTGCCGGTCAACAGCTGAGGGGCCGAACACCCAACAATTCAAGTTATTATGTAAATAAACTAAGTATTACAAAGATATGTTACCTTTGAAATTGTTTATTTTGCTGCATTTAATCATGAATACAACATACAGAACCCTATAAAGGTAGAGATAATTACACATTATCAAAAATAAAAAGAACACATTATGCCTCCTATTATTAGACACAAATAATATTTTGCCATCTCTGACTTGCCAAATTTTTAAACCAATTTTATTTTCACTTTCAACATTTTATTTTCAACTGCTTGTGGTTTTAACTGTCTTGAGTGTTTATAGAAATGGTTTTTACCAGCTTGTAGCCACGATTCTGACGTTTCTGTAGATACCAAACATCTCTATGTTTCACTAAAAGAACTTAAGAGTAATTAAAGCAGAAAACCGGGGGTTTGAGCTTAAGAGATGAATGAACCAATTGGCGGGCCGAACTTTGGTCACTTGCGGGCCAGATGTGGCCCATGGGCTGCCAGTTGAATAACTGTTGTATGCCATGCGGGTCACATCAGTGCCATGTAGCGTTCACACAGAAGTTTGATGTAGGTTGCATTTAAAATGTAATGTGAATGTTTAAGCCAAGAAATCAAATTCTTTCAAAACATCTGAATGGAGCATTAAGACCTGCAGTGTGAACGTAGCCTATTTTGTCTTGTTGTCTTAAAAGATGTGCTCTCTATCCACTGAACCCTCTGGTTCAACCACACAGAAAGCATTCTTGATGTAAAGAGAGTTAATTCAGGTGTTTGTGTGTTAAAGACCTAAAGCCCTCCAGGCTCTCACGAAGCTAGCAAAGAAAGCCTAGACCAAACTCACAAATGTTCATACAAGCACACATCCAGCCATAAAACTCACACAAATATACCTGCATGGGTAGATTGGGGAATGTTTCTCCCTTGGAAGGATTTACGATGGCAAACAGAAGGTAATGAAACCCATGGAGATATTTACTATCAGTGTCAGAGCTTATTATCCCAGAGAGGAAAATGGGGTCAACTGGAAAGCCTTGCTGAAAACTGGGTGTTGTCTTTTGCATGAAAAAAAAGATCTTCCGTCTGCATCACCAGAACTCTAAGGTCAGTGATGAACAATCAATAAGGTAGGAATAAATGAGCAATTTCCTGCAAAAGTCTGATAACCCTGAGTATTTTAAGCACAGATTTTTGCACACAGTGCACTGTTTAATTGCTTTGCTTTGGTCCATAAGTTTTAAAGTGTACCTAATTTAGCATCTCCTTCTTTATGGTATTTAAAGTTTACACAAGATCACCATATAAACCTTGGGATGATTTATAATCTCCAGAAAAATCAAGGACATTGTATGAGGCATATGCCACGATATACAGTATATGGCATCACATTTAAAGGCAGGAGAAAGTGGTCCTTTCACAGCTTAGGTACTAATCAAAGCCATAACTGTATACTTTCTTTACTGGAAACTATTTCTAGCAAAACAGGAAACGTTCAGCTACTAAATATATTTCAGTGTTTGCTTATTTTGCTTTCATTTTAAAATATCACATCTCAAACAGGACATTTCCTCTGCACACAAGTATCTCTGATTTCCCCCTTTAGTCTCTTGTCATTTTCACATCCAGGGATTATAGTGACAATGCAAGCCAATACCGCAGTATTGATCATGGCATTTACCTTGACTGCTTAAGAAAGGCCTGTCAATACGATCAAGCAAAAATGAATGAGCTGTCCAAACAAGCTTCTCTGCAGATAATTAATACATCCAGAGGATCATAAAGCACACAGCTTGTCCCAATGTGTTCACAGAGGTATGGCTGAGACTACCGTTATGTTCACTTTTAAGAGGGAAATGGAGCTATATTATTAAGACTAGATGAGTGTTAATACAATTCGTTCACACTTGAATCCACTGAACCAGATCCTATAAGCACATTCAATTTTTCTTCTCCAATACATTACAGGAAAAGTGGCTGGTATTATTCTCCCCTGATGGCAAATAATACGAAATATTCAGCGAGTTCAATGTACTGAGTATTTGCACAAGTCTTGGTAAATTCCCTTACTTAATCATAGATTTCATACTCAGGGGAGTATATGGGAATAACTAGAAATAATGTTTCTGTTAACAATAAAGCCTAGCATCTACTGGATGAGAAAATAAGGCTTTAGTTTGTTGTAAGCTCAAAATTGAGTAAATGCGATTTTTTTTATGATAGATTATGTCTTAGTCATAGCCATATTGTTAATGAAAAGAAGAATAAAAACTGAAGGAGTCTTGTACTGTTATCATAAACAACAAAATCTATAAGTGACCTAAGTTATGTGAGGCAGCTCATAAATATCTAACAGCTCCTGTAAAACTTGTATCCCCAATTCTGCATCATCATTTCCTCTGGGGAGTAAATTTAAATAGCTCACAGTAGTTGAGAACCATTATCCATCAAGGCATCCCCATTCATCTCAAATGCATATTTTCTATGGTCGATGTGTTGCAGTTCCTGATGCATCAACATTATTTATGGTTTGACATTATAAAAGTAAGTGCATAATTTATGGACTTAAATTAATGCACTACCTTCCGTGTGCTGTCTGTTTTTCAAAGATCCAAAGCCAGATTGCAGCATGCCAAAACTATGAAGCAATCCCATCTACAGCCGAGAGCCCACAGCCGCCTTGATTTATGGCAGTAAATTAAAAAGAATGAAAAATTTATGACAGCAATTTGTGGGCAGTCATAAAACTATTATAAAACTTTGAAGTGGCGTTTTGTCCTTTTGCATGTAAGTGATGCAAGATGACCCTGTGTTTCAGAAATATCTGAACTCCTCTCATTGGTGAACGGTTCCTCCTTGAGGAGTTGTACTGCCTATCTGCATTAACACAAAGAAGGCAACAGACAGACTGGTATCAGACTTAACTAAACTCTACTTTCTTCTAGACATCAGTTTAACCATACAACCCTGCTTAGTGTGAAGTCAACTTCTCTTCTGCATGAAATCGAAGTTCCAGCTGGCATTTGACTGGATGCCAAACCATGACTGAATGAAAGCCCATCCTTGACTGACAAATGATATATTAAGCTTTCAGTCAGCAGGGAAGGGAGGCCAGGCATGTCAGTTACCTGCTACAGCAGAAACTCCACTTGTCAATCTGCCATTGGCAGGGCTAAACAAGATCTGAAATGTTAAAAGCCCCACAGACTGTAGTTTTTCACTTTTCTTTGCATCCCAGGCACTTAGACAGATCAACTATGTGATTGTTATGAATCAATACGTGCCACGAATGTCAGAGTGACACATTTATATGAGAAATTTTGCTCAGCCTGTGGGTTTCATGTAAAATATGAGTGCATTCAAATTACAAATAAACGGCAAATAGTGAAACGACCTTCATGATAAAATATACTTCATTTGCAAATGAAGTTATGAGATTTTTTAAATTATTATTATTGGTAAATTACATCTACTAAATGGTAATGTTGAAGTTTTTTTTCTTAGTTTATTCATATTTTATTTTGTCTGTTCACATGTGGACCACTAATAAAGATTCAAGCGTGCACATGGCAGAGGCCTGTGGGCAGTGTTCAGCAGCTCAGAGTGGGCCTCTCCTTGACTCTGCTGGTGTTGATTATGGATGATTAATGGGGTATAAGACGAGAGAAAGAAAGGTCAACTCCTGGGTTCTAGAGGGAGCAGCTACACTGGGAGTAATTAAGACACTTGTGTAAGCATGATTAATACGCGCACAGTCATGCTGTGCACAATAAACAAGACAAACGGACGGTTGAGCTATGCACTTTAAATTTGGTTTTGTGGGAACGCAGCAAGACATAACAGGAACTGTTTTTCGTTTAGTTAATAATCCACAGCTTACCTGTTTGATGGAATCCACATCAGCAAAGATCCAGAGAAGCAGGCAGACATAAAAAAGAAAGAAAATGCTGTATTACTTAAAAAATATTTTATTTCTTGCTGTGTGCAATTTGAAGTTATCCAAGTTATGCCTGTATCATATGACCATAGAGTGATATTTGAAAATGAAGATGAGTTGACCCCTAAGTTGACTTATTGCCAGAGGAAATCAATCATCAATATGTTCTTGGAGTGTCTTGCAAGGCAGAATAAATCAGCACATCCTGAAGCCAGCTTGTACTCATATTACACCAGCCTTTAAGAATTGTATTGCACACAAAAACATGTAAAACATAAGGTGTTCCCACTAAGCACATATGTAGTTGTAAACAAAA